GGGGAGGGAAATATGGAGGAAAAGAAAGACAAGAACGGAACTTAAGCCCCGTGAGGAGCTAAACCCTTCCTCAGTCCTGAGAGGGTCCAGCTGAACAGAGGTCGCACAGCCTGCTGCTATTAGAGACCCATGAGGCTCTCCAGAGGGTGAACTCTCTTTTTTAACTTCCAAAGGTTAGATGTGAGAACAACACTCTCATGACCTCTCTATCTACCAGGACAGCAAAGTTCACGGCGCTCACTTTGATCAAGGGGGGGGACTAACCGGCCTGCACATCCGCTTGACGAGCTTCCAGATAACTGAAGAAGGGACAGAAAACAGGGGCCATAAATAAAATTAAATGCCCCAAAGAAAACATCCACCCAAGCCGCCGGTGCTCTGCCCCACACAGTAACTCTGTTGCTCGAGGCACAGCCAAAGGGCTCAGCTCTGTCTTTCTAGTCTTGTCTGATTTGCTGAAAACACATTCCAGATAGGGGGCCCAGACCCTTGTCTCCTGCAATACTAATCAAAAGATTTAAAGTTTTGCAAAACACAGACCATACCAGAGTAGAGTCTCAATAAAATAAAATAAAATAAACCAGGCATACATGGGGGGCGGGGCATGATCTGAGCCAGCTGTTCGCTGACTGTATGGACTTAGCCCGGTGTCTTCTCTTAGAAATATTTTTAAGTGGATATAATTCCCATTGCAACAAATGCTTGCCTATTTAGCTTGATGAAATTTGAATGAAACAAAGTGATTTTTATCTCAAATAAATCTATGAGGGTTCCATGAATGGCGGCTAAGCCACCGGGGCCTCCAAGCTTTTTGTGCCTCCGAGCATCACTCTAAAGACTCGTACAGACTTCTCCAGGGTGTGTCTCTTGGGCTCTAAGCCACACCTTAAAGATCATGACCAAAGACCCCGGCAGCATTCAGGACCTTTGATTCTTAAAATAATACTAGCAAAGAACCAACCACCCGTCAATGGTCTGGTCTGTCGCAGCAAGCACGTGTTGTGTAGCCCACTCCCATCAAATGACTCTCCTCCTCCTGCAACAACTGCAGTTGTCCTTTGAGAAACGATTTCTTTCCTGGCACCATCAACCACATATACCAGTCGACCCAACTCCAATCCTGCACTCAATAGGTCAGAGTCTCACACCTGCCAATCAGAGTGTCACACTCACCTTGCACCATAATGGATTTAGGGTATGAGAACTCTTGCATTCGAAGCCAATGAAAAATCAATCGTTTTAAGAAGAATAACTTAGTCATTCACAGGGCTACTGGGCTTGATCCTAGACCACAGTGAAGCTTGGGTAGCCGACTGGCTCGTTGCCCAGGAGCTAAGGATCTGCTGAGAATGAAGCTCTCAAGCAAAGTGGGAAGCTGGGTCCTGAGGTCATTACAGGGCTCATAGGTCAAGCACACGTGACATGACATATTCCTGCACTTTCCAGTTGTGCATATCAACAATTTTTCTTTCCATGCGTAAGCCGATTATAATACAAATTTTGTATGATTTGTGAAAAGGGGAACTCTTGGCTGTATAAAAGTATATAAAAGTACAGAATGCTGCTAACACAACCTTGGGCAGTACATCGATCGAAACACAAAACAGGAAAGCATCCAAGTACATTGCCATGCAGGGCGTCGTCTTACAGGAGTAATGCATCTCAATGTGGCAAGAACTCCTTCAGTGTCTACCACGCTCCCGAATGAATGTCAACTCTTCTTTATAAATTGATAACCCTAATGTAAACCAGCAGACAATATAAAAGTGGAAGGTTGATTATAAAGACACAAAGTGAAGGTACTAAGAATTTATTATGAGATTAATGGGACAGAGACACACTATTTAAAATCAAGTTATTGTTGGGTTTTAATTTCAGTGGTAGTGGAAAGGCTGGGCAAAGCATAAAAACAACTTTCTACAGACAGTTGCTAAATTAAATAGAGATGGGGAACAGCACAAATCCAGCATATATGGAGAGAGCTCAATGCTCAAAGATAGAAAGCATGCTACGGTGTAGTGTCTGTTTCTAAGCCTTTCCCTTAAAGGCACCAACCAATCAATTATGTTGGGTGTTGTATGCAAAGTTGAATAATCACAAATTAATTATCTAAAATTAATAGACTTCAAGGGTGGAATTCTGAGCAGGCAGGACATCTGAAAATTGAGAAACGAGATCAGAGAAAGATTGAAGGAGAGCACCCAGATGTGCAAATGCATTTCTGTCTGATCTGGAGGAAGAGTAGAAAATTCCAGTGATCCTGACAGAAAGATATGGCCCAGAGGCTGAAAAAGCTGAGCAGAGATCTCAGCTGATAGTCACAGCTGGGGAACTGGAGCCTGGAATCTAGATCCTGTCACATTCCAGGGACTTGGTAACCATTTCAGGTTTCTTACTGAAACTTCATAAAGGCCATTCTTATGAATAAAGATAATGCTTGAGGGTGAAGGACTCACCATTGGACACAACTAAAGTGTGAACACCACTTAACAAATTAGAAAACAAAGCCTCCTTCACAAAGTCCACAGTGTTGGTAATTCAACAACCATCAGAGAGAAATGCTTCAGTCTTTAAAGAAGGGTAAGAGCATCTAGGGTCTCTACAGTAGATTATCCACAATGTTCAGGAGCCAGCATTGGGACTCACGGTTGGATGGGTATGAAAGGGGTGTGGGGGAGGATTTAAGGGATGGGTGAATATGATCAAATATATTTTAAGAAATTCTCAAAAACTAATAAAAATGAGGGAGGAAATGATATGAAAAGAAATGAGAGAATGGACTGTAGATTCAGAATTCACAGTAGCCACCTAACAGATCCAAAGGTAACAAAGACATTACCACTGGGACACAAAAACTTTGGAGGACATCAAAAAGCATTTGCTGTATTTCTAAAACATATGGTCATTTAGCTGAGAAATGGAAGAAAATGAAAATATGACATACAAAGTGGAAACAATTATGGGATACACATAATATCAGATTGTGGATGGCCAAAAAAGAAAGCATTAAGTTGAGGAAGCATCACCCAGCAGAGAAGACCTGATCTGAGGATTGGAAATCATTCAAGAAGCAGAATTGAGCGACCCAGAGAACAGCTGCAAGATGCCTGACAGACACTTGTTATAGAGACACAGAAGAGGAAGAGGATGAGGAGGGCAGAAGATTAGTTTAAAACCAGGCATGGTGATGCATTGATAGCCCAGCTTGTGGGAGGCTGAGGCAGGGGAATTTCCAAGTCAAGGCCAGTCTGAGTTGTATAGCAAGACCCTGTCGGGGAGAAAAAGAGGAGGTGAGGAGGAAAGGAAAAGAAAAGGAAAACAATATTTGAGGGAATAAAGGCTGGCTTACCTAAATTTAGTGGAGATAGGACTTGCCAGCAAGAGCAAGGGCAAACAGGCAGAGAGAAAAAGCTTCCTTCTTCCAGGTCCTTTATATAGGCTGCCACCAGAAGGTGTGGCCCAGATTGAAGGTGGATCTTCCCACCTCAAAAGATCCAGATTAAAAGTGCATCTTCCCACTTCAAATGATGTAATTAAGAAAATGATTCCTCATGGGTATCTCCAGTCACTTGTGTTAGTTAATTCCAGATGTAGTCAAGTTGACAGCCAAGAATAGCCAGCACACATAGGTAAAGAACAGGAAACAGAAAGTTAGGAATGGCCTATGTGCCTTTTAATGAGGGTTGATATACTAAAGTGTGCAACATCCAAACAAATGGAACACTACATAGTCATGAAAAAGAATGAGATAGATGAATATATGCTATGAGAAGAAAATCTTCAATATAAAAAGTTCCCAGGAGAAGGATAGGGTGAATAACATAGCAGACCTGCATTGGTATGCCTGGGCAGTATGGAAGGGGTGCATGTGTGCAAGCATGCACAAAACTGTTCTGGATGGGTTTGTCTTAAAAGTAACTGATAACAGGGGGCTGGACAGATGGCTCAGTGGTTAAGAACTCTTAATTGCTCTTGCAGAGGACTCTAGGTTTGGCTCTCATATATATATTTACATAATATTATACACATCCATGGCATTACTTATGTGTATCTAATACAGATTTACAAAATAAACTAAATATGAATATACAATATTGATTTATACATAGTCTACATAGCCAACCTGAATTATTAACTTCTCCAACTTGAGTATGTGCATATATAAACTGTATTCAACATTTTATATTTATATTGAGAGAACTTTTCAGTTCACTTAGTTAAAAGTAGGTAGCTACAAACTATCTTGGAGCCAAAAACAGCCATCTTGTCCAACAGAGTATCTAAGATGAAAGATCATGGTCCAGCGCCCCAGCTTCTCACCCACACCCCCACAAAGCCAACACATTTGGCACCCATGCTCAACTGTGGTCCAGAAAACCATGCATAAAGAGGCTGCCTTGTGGGCCACATGGAAGGCAATGCTTGGCCGGGCCTAAGATCTCTGCTGTATACACAAAACAATCACACATCTCTGATTCAGGTTTGTTGAATGTTCTCAAGTCCCAAGAGGGGAGAAAGGAGTCAAAAATAGCTCAGCGCTTTGGAAGCTGTTAGCACAAGGCCCTTTCTGGCATACTTGTTTTTTCAACATTCAATGAACAAAAAGGCTCACTGTTTCGACCACCAAGAGAAAGCCAAGTTTTCAGAAATGCAGTCACACTTCTGGCTGACGTCAGGACATTTTCCAACCCAGCTTTCACAGGCAGACGTCGGGGTGGTCTGCCCGACCTCCCACAGGCTTCTCGGTGCCAACAGTTGTGTTTGTAAACTTGAGCATAATCACAAAGCTTGTATACTTGTGAAGAGTTAGATGTCCAGGGTGCTCTGTGACGGGGGACACAAAGGTGAGTTCCGAGGCTTCTCTTGCTAAGAAAACACTGAATCTCAGGATGGAGCAGTCGGTGTAAACAGATCCCTGAGTCCTTACAAAGAAGCAGAGCCAACCCGAGGCTCCTGCCACAGAAATTCAAGATTGATTTATTTCCACTGGGCAGATTAAAATACACAGTGTTTTCATGGGGATGACTGGACTTCATAAATTTATCACTGCCTGGCCATGTGCAGCTTTTGATCCTTCCTGCCGGGCCTGGTTGGATCTGGGAGCGTTCAGTTGCCGCTCTGACACGTGTGTCTCTATCCGTCTTCCTATATGTTGAACTTGGCTGTCCCCATCAGAGACAGGAGGCAATGCCAGCTCTTGAGGAAGGTGAGTGTTTTCGATTTTAATGTAGAGCTGCCCAGGGTCCCCCAGACCACACAGCTCCAGCTTGTAAGGCAGACTGGCTCCCATGCTTGCCTCCCTCTCCATCCTTAGGGTACATTCCTCTGGCTGGCCTGCCTGGGTCAGGATCCCCTTAGTTCCACCATCATCCATTAGTGTCCCACTCAAAGAGGACTCTCTCCCATGAAACAGACGTACTGCTCAGTCTGCCCTATGTAATTCACCAAAGTACAAGAGATAGCAACTAAACTGATTACAGGATGGCAAGGTGTTGGGACCAGGACCATAAGAGAAGACCACACTGCTGGCTTTGAGGTGCTTATAACTAGGAGAGAAGACAGGCAACCCATCTACAAAGTGGGCAGTATGTGAACAGAGACCTGGCCAGGAAGTGGGTTGTGAACCCACTAGGTCCCTGAGAGCTGTGGATGCTGGAGGGAACAGGAGGATCATGGAGTACCTCCTGAGGAGCTGGTAACTGAGCTGGGGTTTAGAAGCTGCGTAGGACTGTGGCTATGGGGAAGTGACAGGCTAACATCTCCCAGGGGAAAAGGAAAGACGAGTGAATGTGTCAGAGTGTGTCAGAGACAGTGGAGCAGAAAGAGTTACAAGGCTGTGGTGGGGAGCAAAAGGCGGGAAGAAGAGACACTGGCTGTATTTGGCAGCTTGCGTTGCATTCTTCATGAACTTTAAAAGAGGAATTACGATGCTAGTCAGTCTTGTTCCATTTTATAGATGAAGAATCCTGGAATACACAAACACTGATTGGTGCTGGTTCTCCAGACAGTTCCAGCAGCAGCTCAGGTCCAGGCCTGTGGGGTACCCAAAGGTCTCTTTCTCCCCCACTGGGTATCAGTTACTAAGAACAGTCACATGATAGAGACTCTCTGGTCATCGTACACGAGTTGAGGAGGCCATCCTTGCTTTCTGTGAGTCATGAAAGAATCAGAAATGAGCTTGGTATCCAGGAGTGGCCGTAGAGGGTCAGTAGGGACAGTCTTGGTAAAACTTTGTCCAGAACCACCTGGGATGTACGGTGATTTCAATGATGGGGCGGGGCTGGGGAAGGATCTCCAAAATCTTGGGGGACCCAGCAGAAGGGGTAGCACAGCAATAAAAAAAGGAGTCACAACAGAGTCAGAGCAACGGAGATCGGGTGGAGAAGGGGTGGGAGAGGCAGGCCCCATGGTATCCAGGTAAAAATACTGGAACTCAGATTTAAATGAAGTTACAGGAGGTTCTCTGGTGATTAGTTAGGTATTTTCAGCAAGGATTCACCATCTATGTGCTGGACATCCAGGTGATACCAACCTGAAGGGCATATTGCCTCTGTCCTCTGTAGCTCATGTTATCACGGTAGAGACAGGAGGCAAGTGTACAGTGCTACTGCCAGGCCATGGGGAACTTTCTGACAAATTGAGCCAGGAAAGAGACTGGAAGCCAGGGAATAGCTTAAGGGATTTTTCTGAGTAGAGTAGTTAAGGAAGGACTCTGAGAAAGTAACATTAGAGACCTAAACAAAATGAGGTAGGAGTAATCCAAATACCAGTGACAAGCATAAGGTCCTGAGGCAGGAACAAGCTTGAGTAGTTCAAGGATCAGCAATTAGGCCATGGGGCAAGAGCAGGGAACACTCACAAGCAGACACCAAAGGGTCAGAGGCTTGAAAGCTGCCTCATTTTGCTTTGTAATCAGGCTCAAATGATGACTTACAAAAAAACTCTAATCTTTGCTACTTTGGAAAATGAAGGGCAATGTGCACATGCGCGCACACAAACAGGAAATGAACATTTGATCTCACTTGTGAACACCTATGTAACTATTAAGTAAACAACTACAAACAGGATGGAATGAATAATCTTTGTTCTGTTTATGTCAGAACTGGAATGGTGGCTTAATATTGGTATATGTATGAATACAATCAGGTATATGAATAAATTAGATAAACAACAAGGATCAGCTAGATGGCTCCTTCATGAAAGTGCTTGCCCCCCATGCTTGATGACCTGTATTCAATCCCCAGAATCCCGACAAAGGTGGAAAGGGAATCAGCTTCACAAAGTTGTCCTCTGACCTCCACACACACACACCAAGGCATGCACATGCCCACAAACATACATCATGCAAACACACAACAACAACAATAATAATAAATAAAAGTTTTAAAATAAAAAACACTATGCAAACATCTCTAAAAGGTGCTGACTAGCCAATCAACAAAATACTAGTGTAGATTTTAGGAGGGAAAAGACTTACAATAAACATAGTATGATATTGTTATGATAAAGATAATCTGTCTGAAAACAATAGAATACACTCCTTTCAGTGGAAACCCTGAACCACCACAACGCAAACTAAAAAAATCCAGTGGCTCTTTTGATCAACTCATGTTTGAAGCTATGTTTTAAAACCACCAAGGAATGATACACTACTTCTAACTGTCACAAAACTAGACCGTGCTCAAGGGAATCTTCCAGTGTTGCTAAAGTTATGGTTGGCACACCTTTGCCCCTGAAACAACGTTTGCTGCTGAATTTCTAGAACTTTAAAAACAGTCAGGTCCTGCGCCTGTCTTAGTTGTATTTCTTGTCTGTGTGATAAGGAACCGTGAAATAAGCAATTTAAGAGAGGGAGGGTTTATTTCACTTCACAGTTCAAGGGGGACAGTCCACTGCGGTGGAGCGGTCCTGATGCAGGAGTTTGAGGCAGCTGGTCACACTGTGTCCACCGACAGGCAGCAGAGGGGGACTAAGGTTTGTGCCCAGTTCGCTTTGTGTTACTTTGTAGCCCAGGAATTGGTGTCTGCTACAATGGGCAGGCCTTCCCTCCTCATTAATCTAATCAAGATAGTCCCCTGCTGGCACTCCCCAAGGCCCTTTACCCTGGTCCCTCTAGAGCTCACCATGTTGACAATTGAGATTTTCCATGAGAGCCTGTAATTCCATCTCTACTGATTGTATTAAGACCTGCAGACAAACATTTATATATTTCTTTTGGTATCATTTTTGCTATTTTAAACAGGGCAGCAATCTAAATGCAGAGGGAGATGAGGTAAATTATGTTGGATTGGAGACTACAATGCATTATTTATAAATCTTGTTTTTAATTATAATAACATAGTGCTCACGGAACAGTATGGAAAAGAATGATATGAAATCAAATGTAGTGGGTGTTTATACAGCTTATTTTCAAATTATAGAAACTCTGTACAGAAAAAGACTGAAAAGTCAACACCCAAATGCTGCCCGAGATTATCCCTCTGGTGGGAGTGTGATAGTTAGGGTTAATTGTTGATTACACGATCTGTAATCGCCTGGACAGAGAGACTCATCGAAGGATTGTCTAGATTAGGTTGGTCTATGAACATGCCTGTGGAGTATTATCTTGATTAAGTTAATTTAGATGGGAAAATTTGCCCATTGTGGGTGGCACCATTTTCTCGATTCTAGGGGCTCCTGGATTGTGTAAGTGTAGAGAAGGGGCTGACCAGCAGCATGCATATATTATGGGCCCCTTCTTCTGCTTTTGGACATAATCTGACTAGTTGCTTTTAGGCTGCTAAGACTTTGACTTCTGTGCCACTGTAGCCCAGAACTGTGAGCTAAAGCAAACACTGTCCCTTTAAGTTCCCTTTGTCAGAGCATGGCATCACACAAGCCAAGACACAGAAGAAATGAGTGTAACAAGGTAACTTCTACATTCAACCAGGTACTTCATTGTCTAAGTGCTTCATAATGCATATTTTTTTTCTTTGACCTTCAGATAATAGTCATTTAGAGTAAAAGGGGGTATTTTTTTCTAATCAGGAGACACTCTCAAATGGTGAGAAATTTCTCTGCACAGATAGCAATGGGTTACTTCGAACATTCCATAAGTTCACCCAAGGTCAAGGTAAGTAACCCACCTCCCAAAGCACTAGAAACTTCTATACTTGTTGATCAGCTTATCCTAGCCATGAAAAGGGTAATATGTTGGATGTCATCACATCCCTAGGGGTCTTGCACTCAGTGGAGGGAAGCCCATGCTGAGGATAATTGCTTCCGTTCCCTACAATCAAGGTCACCCTGACTGAGCATTACTGAGGGCTTCTTGGCGATGTGTGTGTGTGGTGGTGGCGCTGGGGTTAAGTGAGCAAGAAAAATCAGGCAGGGCATGAGTCCTATCACAACCCAGTAGCAGACAGAAGAATTGGCACACCCACCCAGCAGCTGCTTAGGTGTCTCAGTTAGGGTTTCTATTGCTGTGAAGGGACACTGTGACCACGGCAACTCTTAAAAAGAAAAACATTTCACTGGGGCCATCTTACAGTTTCAGAGGTTTAGTCCATTATTGCCACAGCAGGAAGCATGGCAGTGTGCAGGCAGACATGGTGCTGGAGAGGTAGCTGAGAGTTCTATGTCTAAATTCACAGGCAGCAGGCAGAGAATTGGCTTGAGCTTCTGAGACCTCAAAGTGCATCCCCTAGTGACACACTTCCTCCAGCAAAGCCACACCTACTCCAACAAGGTCTCACCTCCTAATAGTGTCACTCCTTATGGACCAAGCATTCAAACACATGGGTCTATGGGGGCCATACCTATTCTAACCATCACAGAAGGGTTGTGGTTTTGCCTGGTTTGGTGAAGGTATAACACACAGTTCCATACTCCTCCCTTTGAAGGCTCCCCAGATTCCAGCAATAAGCAACCAGAACACTTCCTATCTCAGACAGATTCTTCCTTAGACTTCTCTTTCAACAGCACTTGAGTGGTCTGGATTGGCTCTGCATATGAGAACTGACCTAGCAGTTTATCCTGGGCACGAACCAACCTCACCAGGAGACTCTTTGGAGTTGTCCACCAGTCCAACCAGTGAACCATCAGACCTCCAACATAGTTTAATCTCTCTCTGCTTATTCCACATCCATTTCTGTTGATTCATATAGTGTGTGGAGGAGCCAAGAAAATCAACACAATGCCCAGCTCCTGCCGAGCACTTCACCTCCC